CAAATCAATTTTCTAAATATTATTAATATAATTTCAATATTTATTCCCAATCTCCAATTTAATATAAAGGAAGGGTCATACGTTATTCAAACAAAATTTTATAAAAATAATAATTCCCACTGGCTAAACATTCATCAATCTATAAAATATGTTAAGATAGTGACCCCCCCTCTTATTAACACATCACGAGTCTATAAAATTGTCAATATGATGATCGAAATGAAAAAAATATTTTGTTAATCACCTTCATTATTTTTAATTCCTCATGCATATCACCATGTTTTTCTGTCACCTTATCTTTCGTTTCTGCGAAAGGTCTCGACCTCTTCACAGTATCAAGACTTTGACACCCGACTTCATCCAGATCAACAATTTCCTCTGGTTTCCTCTCAGTTCCGATTTTAGTTTCTCTCATTTCATTTCGGCTGAATTCATTTTTTTCAGCTCCCTTAGAAAATTCTTCATCTTTAATCTGACGGAAATTCTGCTGGTCCTTGCCACTCACTAGAGAGCTATACTTTTCGGCATCCAGTGTTGGGCGGTATTTGCAATCAGTCACGTGATCTTCAAGATTTCGAAGCTTAACTTGCTCTGGACATCCTCGATCATTGTAATCACACCTGATTCTTAGTTCTGACAAAACCTTCTTTAAGAACCTTTGGGAAAGTTTCAAAGTTTCCAATGTGAGGGGTTCTCGACATCCTGGGCATGTTTGAGACTCTTTAGCAAGATATTGTGTTATGCAACTCAGACAAAAGCAATGTTCTTCCGCCTCACATAATCGTGGCTCTTTCAACACACGGTGGCAAATGCAGCAAAGTAAATCTCGTTTAACTTGAAAAATAAAGCGGATTGGATCATAACCTCGCTCCATTTCGCACTTTTCTTTTTCTAAAACAATAATTAATTTGAAGTCCAGGTTATTATTATTTCTTTATTCATACAGTACATTAAATACTCAACACGACATTCTATTTAAGAAATATTCGTTAAATTCAAGGAATATTTGTCCACTTTACTATAAACACACAGGAGTCACGACACCTTGATCTTGGTATATGAACGGTCAAGCACCGTCTCATTTTGTACAAACACATTGCTTTTATCTATGAAACATTTGCATTTCATTGGCATTCCAAGTATAACTTAAGATTATCAGTATTTACAATCATATAATTATTGTGTTATTTTTTATCTGCACGCACGCAAGATTTGTTAAAGATAGTTTGTTTTAACAAAACCATTTAATTCATGAGCGTCATGCTGCGAAAAAATGCAGCAATTTAAACTCCAGGATGCCATTTCGACACATCAACATTTGAAATATTTAGCTACTACGAATGTCGTTTCTCTGATTCTAACGCTATTTTTCACTTTTTTCACTCAATTCCATGATTCTGTGCGCGCGCATTCCTTGGGGTACTAAAATAGTGGCCGAATTTAGTACCCCAAGGAATGCGCGCGCAAAGCATCACGGGATTTGGTGAAAATAGTGAATAGTTTATTGTAATTTAACATTTCATATTCCAAAGAAAACTTTCGAAACAAATACAGTGTATTACTTAGGTATCCATTAATGATAATTACGTAAAGTATTTGATTTGGGGAGTGTTATATATTATAATATTTTCCCAAATATTTCGACTTTTTTGACACGTAAGCTGATAGTTTGTCACTGTCACGCTTGAAATAGCTACACGACTATTAATTTTCGTTTTTAATATATAGGTTTGCATTTATGCCCGCCCTTTAACACTTCTTTACGATATTTTTAGAGAATTGTTTTGAGTTTCGAATTAGACAGTCAGACACACTCGCTATTTGAAGTTTGGACAAAAATTTCATTCCCTAATAACACGCGCAGTTCGCTAATTGTTGCTAATCTTACACTGACACGATATGGCTTAAAATATAAACAAACTCACCACCAATTTTCATAGCGACGAAATCGCCATCTAAACCTTCCATCTCTTGATGCGAAATCTCGTGTTATTACTATAAACCTTTATCATGAAACATAGGCAAATACAGCACAATATCCTTAAATCTACCGGTTCAAATGGATGGATCGTGACCCTCAATTCTTGAGCGATATCTTTAATGCACCTGAAACGTTATAAAATTGAAAGTTAAAAGTTATTACATAGCTACCAGTCGATCTTAGATGTTGTAAGTATGTGGTACTTTTGTCTATATACCCTCCCATGTTCATATCACCCCACATGCATTCAAAAGTCATTAGAAAAATCGTGGTTGCGTGTATAACAAGATGGCCCAGCACAGCTCGAATATTATATCATTTTAGAGCAAATATTTGAAATAGGATTTGGAGTAGCTACAACAAAATACTCCCGAGTAAATTAATAAGAACATTGAATAATTTTTTACGAATAAATCAAAAATGGTTTACATCACGAAGTATTCCTAATAGTCACCCATCCAATATATTAATCTTCCAAAGTTTATAGACCACTGTTTTATCTGTTACACTATGGAACCTACAGAGATTTATGGCAATTTCTTATCTTATACTGACACAATATTTAAACTGTCAACCTATTTGTTTAACTGACACTATTTGTTTAATTTTGCTGGGGTTTTTTACCCTTTTAAGTTTTTTTATGCTCTCATTCGCAAAAACTTCAACAATGCGCCACTCTTTTGTTTTCTTTTCGTAAGATGTCGCGCCTTTATATCTCATATCTTATGCTCTACACATTTAACCCAGTAAATCGAGAACATAGAAAAAGATGGCATAGGAAGGCTAAGGACAAAAACTGAATGTTACTGACGAAAGAGCTGCGCCCACAGAAAGTACATAAGACGTATTGATATTTTTAATTTTATTAGACTGACACATCAGATTTAATTAATTATGTCTGTATTGTTGACTAAACTTTTAAAACTATTAACATGATCAACTATGAAATAAGTTGATAGTTACAAAATAAGTAGACTTGTATAAGAATATAGAAATATTCATAAGTTGTCATAAGTCACAAGCCAAGCCTTGTGATTGGGCGATCCGGAAACCCCGTCAATCATTTCAAAGTTCTGTTTCGTCAATTTGAAGTTTTCCTGAATTACAAATGATATAAGTCAGTGTATTGGGGCTGCCTAAATATACCGAAGGTTACATTCTCTGTTTATCAGTTTAGGCCATAGCGTAAGAAATATGATCCAATCAGTTTAATAATACCACCCTAAACTTCTTTTACCTCTATTTCCTATACTTGGTCCGGTATGTTCCTGACTAATGTTGATTGCTCAAATGTGTCTATAAATACACGCATTAAATTGAGAAAGTTACAAGTTTAACAGCATTTAGCGAAAGTGAGTCTTTATTGGTGTTTTTTAAGAGAAGATTTTTCCAAAAAGCATTTTCACTAGCCAACCATGCTTCCTGAAATGTAGTTTGCGTGAACCAGTTGCTTTCCTATCCCTGATTTACAATGATGATCAAACCTAATAACGACCAGCAATTTTGAAATTTTGCAAGAATTTTTCTTACCTCTATTGTACCCACTCTTTCGTCTATTCTAATTTGGCCTTGTCTCATCCACTGTAAATTTCCCTAAATTGCAAGATTTATAATTGTCACTTTTATAACTGCCTCTTCTTAACCACGTTTACGTTTATCCACATTAAGTACGAGCAAACTCGAATGTTCGATTAATGAATGTTTATTGCATGTTTAGTCTGAAGATTTTTCCAAAAAAGGCATTTTCACTAGCCAACCATGCTTCCCAAAATGTAGTGTTCGTGAACCAGTTGCTTTCCTATCCTTGATTTACAATGATGATCAAACCTAATAACGACCAGCAATTTTAAAATTTTGCAAGATTTTTTCTTACCTCTATTATAATTTGGCCTTGTCTCATCTCCTGTAAATTTCCCTAAATTGCAACATTTATAATTGTCACTTTTATAACAACTGCCTGTTCTTAACCGCGTTTACGTTTATCGATATTTAGTACGAGCAAACTCGAATGTTCGATTAATGAATGTTTATTGCATGTTTAGTCTGAAGCATAACCACACAGTTTTGTTGTGGTAATAGGCCTATACTAAGCAAATTTGACAGCTGCAGTCTAGAGGCGTAGAAATAGTTCGTGGTTCGTAGTTACGCTTAGCGTAAAACAAGTTAAACAACAAAAATGTTGCTTTAGACAAAACCAGGAACCGAACGTTTGTGGAAAACTCTGTTATAAAGAGCCTGACGAGATCCTGCTCATTGCTCTCAATAACGTGGATATGGATTATAAAACTCACAGACATAATAACGACCAGCAATTTTAAAATTTCGCAACATTTTTTCTTACCTCTATTCTATTCACTCTTTCGTTTATTATATTTTGGCCTTGTATCATCCCCTGTAAATTTCCCTAAATTGCAACATTTATAATTGTCACTTTTATAACAACTGCCTGTTCTTAACCGCGTTAACGTTTATACATATTAAGCACTGTTTTGTTGTGGTAATAGGCCTATACTCAGCAAATTTGACAGCTGCAGTCTAGAGGCGTAGAAATAGTTCGTGGATCGTAGTTACGCTTAGCGTAAAACAACAAAAAATGTTGCTTTAGACAAAACCAGGAACCGAACGTTTGTTGAAAACTCTGTTATAAAGAGCCTGACGAGATCCTGCTCATTGCTCTCAATAACGTGGATATGGATTATAAAATTCCGAAGAATGTGACAAAACTACAATATACTTAACATTACCTCAATTGTAGTTACTCTTTGGTCAATTTCTTCCAATCGTGGCAAATTCACTTCACACAAATTGGCCTGGTGGATCTGCATTTCTCTTGCACTTACATGCATGCGACAGTTCACGCACATTATTGGACGGTATTGGCAACCATTCACGTGATTTTGTAGATTTCCAAGCTCAACATGTTCGGGACACCCTCGATTGTGATAATCACACCTGATTATCAGCTCTGACAAACAGTTCCTTAGATACCTTTGGGGACGTTGCAAAGTTGCAAGAGTGAGACGTTGTCGACACACTGGGCACGTTGATGAATTAGGAAGGTATTGTGATATGCAATTAAAACAAAAATGATGTTCTCCTGCCTCGCATAATCGCGCATCGCTTAAGACATTACAGCAAATAATGCAGTAGAAATCTTCTTGAACAGGATAAACGAAACGGTCACTATCATAGCCTCCAGCCATTAGCAATATGTTGAATGTATCTGAAATATTATTTCAATGAATGTTTAAAATAATTATAAACTCGATATATAAAATAGAAATAAGATTTTTTTCCACATATTAGTTCATATTTAATTCTGATATTGACAGTGACAGACCAGGCAATTTAAACCACACAAATATAATCAAGTTAGACTTACCAAAGCTGATGATGACGGTTATTCACTTGAACATCCTGCAATAGTTTGGTGTTAACGTTGCGTCAACAATATTTTGTGCTTAAGACAACACCTTGAGGCGTCGTAATGTTTCAAGACTTCGTGATTTGATTTCTACGGCAGTCTTTCAATAAGCTTGCGAAAAATTTTTTGCATCTTTTTTAGACATTTGCATCTATTGATATTCCAAATATTAATTTACCACTATTGAATGATGCAAAACGGTTTTAAAATACCCAATTTTTAAACTCCGCGCACTCGCTAAAGCATACACAAAATTGTCTGAAATTTTAACAACTTATAAAATATATTCCATATTTTAGCCTGCCAAGTCACCCGTTGTTCTGCGCAAGTCGTTCTTAAATTGAATTTAAAATCACGCTTTTATATCGTTAGAAAAAGTTTCCACCAAAACGTTTCACCGTTTTTCGCAAATTTTTGGTGCAAAATGTGCCGTTTGAAGGACTCAAAATAGCTACTTACACATAGTCTTATTAACGACTGAATGCATTTATTAACTGTTTAACTTTTTCGATACACCCTTTAAGGTTGTGTCAGTTACACTATGCAACTTTCCCTGAATGACTTGCAATGCAATTATACTCCGGAAGATAAAATAAGATACATACAGATATGAAACTGTGATATGTGTTTTTGTTTATTGTTTCGTGTCCCACGCGCAGACAGTGCGTGATGACTTCCGGCGAGCTTGGCAAGTGTCATGGGGGAATTTAATGAGTAAAACGCCGTTTTAAGACGAAAAATTGCTTTTTTAAAAACCCTCGCTACCTATGCCTATTTCTGGAATAAATTCTTGAAGAATATCGGTATATGTATATCCTTCGTTAATTGTGGAAAGGCAATTGAGCATATCTCTATGCCTCAAAATTGACTTTGAAAATCAAAGAAGATATTTGCATTGGCACTATGGAATATATATACTCTGGTTGAATTCTTTGCGATGAAGTAAATATTATTTATCTGAATTTTTCAAGTTTCTATCAAAGTCCTTTTTTATCATTTCGTTCCGCATTTCTGTTATTCCTAGATATTTGTTAATTCATTTCATCTTATCTCCTGGAGATATATGTAACTAAAGCATGTATTACATGTTTTCTAAACTCAGCAAGTGCTAAACTATTGCACAGCTTTCCATACGGCAAGCCCTGTACTCCTCAGCTATATTTTTTCCTGTTTTTACCAGCATCAAATAATTTCAGAAACTAGTTCTTAGCTCATGCAGAAGATCCTCTTAATTCATCTTTTTAAAAATTTTAGTCAAATACAACATCGCCCTAAAGGTTTTGTTTAAATAAGCATGCATTTGTTTGTCAAAAACTTTTTCAAAATAAGTCCAAAATTATTTTTTTATTTCTGGGTTTTGAATGAAAGAAACATCGTTTTTGTAAATTCTGACAGATCCAGCGGGGAAAAATGAAAGTAAACATGATTTTGAAATTCCGAAATGGAAATCTGACTAGCCTCGCTTTCGTGTACCTAGCCACAAGCCTCTTGCTTTTTTTTCGAAAAGGTCTATTGCAAGAAAAATTGCAGAGTGTGACAGTGCCTTTAGAGTTCACTGGTATAACTTTGCACAAGATTACGTTTAAAATAGAAACAAACTCACCAATGATTTTCGTAGCGACAAAATTTTCGATTTTCGTAGCGTTCCCTCTCGACGCTTGTTTGTCTCGACGGTTTTCCCTACAGAATTTCAAAGATTCATATCCTGTCGAGATATACAATGATTTTGGGATTTGTTCACGGCGTGTTTGACAGAAGGAACTTTTCTCAACTTCCTAACATCAAAAATTTTTTCTTGCAACTTGCAATGCAATTATAATTTTGAGAGATGTTAATTTGGAAAGAGTGTTCGAAATGCTAAGAAAACGTTATCAGATTGTAAGAAATGTTCGTATTCGACAACTTTAGATGCCTTTAGATGCCTAGATGCAACTTTAGGTGCCAACTTTATACACTAGAGTAGAGCATGTCTTTACCGCTTTCAGTTTAGAGGAGATTATTTGATATATTCGGTATATAATAATAATAATCAAGTGTCTGCCAATAAAATGTCCCCAGCCTTTTCGACTTAAACCACACAAAGATAATCAAATTAAACTTACCAAAGCTGATGAATTATGACAGATTTTTACGTAACCGTTCTGGAACAAGCTGGTGTTAACGCTGTCGACTGTATTTTGTTTCTGAGACAACACCTTGAAATGGCGTAATATTTATTGCCTTCAAAACATCGCGTGATGTCCACGCACGTCATTCATATAAGATTCTTGTGGACCTACGCAATTTGCTGTGACAAAAACATTTTTAACATCATGCTGAGAAACTTGTATCTATTCCCGTCGTTTATTTTGCATTTCTTCGATATTTCAAGTATCAATATGATATTCCAAGTACTATCAAATGGTTCATTGAATGAGTTTTCTACAAAATTTGTAAAAACTGTTTTCCCTTTTGACACCAGAAAGATTTATCGAATCGAAACTAGTTTCTATTTGCAATTTTTACCATCATGCTGAGAGAGTTTTAAATATCTTTAAACACTTGCATTTTTTTGCTATTTCAAGTATCAACTCGAAATTGGTATTATTGATAGTTGAGTTATTATCTCGCATACAAGATTCAAAAGTGGTTTATTTTGACACTAACAGTTTACTAATCATGGTGCAAAAATTGTATTCATTCCAGACACTTGCATTTCTTTGTTATTTCAAGTATCAACTTGAGATTGGTATTATTGATATAGTTGAGTTATTATCTCGCATACAAGATTCAAAAGTGGTTTATTTTGACACTAACAGTTTTCTAATCATTGTGCAAAAATTGTGTTCATTTCAGTCTCTCAGACACTTTCATTTCTTGGATGTTCCAAGTATCAACATGAGTTTCCTGGTTTTATTAAATAGTTCATTGATCGCATCATTACCACAAGATTGAAATTTGGTTTGTTTTGCAATATTAGTAGCAGCCTCATGCTGAGAGAATCTCTGGCGCTCTCTCTCGCTATATTTAGTATTTAAAGTGGTTGTTCTTTTAAATTGAATGTCGTGCTGGGGTCTTAATTAAATGTTTAATGCTGTGTATAACAAAGTGAATCTATGAATCTCTCTTTGGCTCGAGTGATAATTGATTTGTGTCCATTTCAGAGCTAGTCTCCCAGACGAACTCGACTAATCGATAACAATAACACAACTGTTTGACAAGGGTTTAAATTATGTCCATCGTGATTAAATATTTCATGCTGTGGCCCAAACTGAAGCTATGAACCTCGCTTTGGTTGGAGTAATTGATTTGTGTTGATTGATTTGTGTTGAGAATTAAAGTCCAGGCATGAAACAACACAATTGTATTTGCCTTCATCGATGAACAAAAATACAACTTGTTGAACACAAAGGTTTAAATTCTGATAAAAAGTATTCAATACGAAGTAATTTCAACTGGAAAGTTTTCCAATCGAAATTAAGATCTATCAACCCTTTAAAAATTAGCCAACATCTAGTGAAGTGGAACAAAATCTCAATTCATTTATTGAGAAGTTATTGATTTAAATTGAATATCGTGCTGGGGTAATCGTAATTAAATATTTCATGCTGTGGCCCAAACTGAAGATATGAATCTTGCTTTGGTTCGAATAATTGATTTCTGTCGATTTCGAAACCAGTGGAAGTCCAGGCATGAAATAATACAAAGTTATTTGACTTCATCGATGAACAATAACACAACTTGCTGAGCATTAAGGTTTAAATTCTATAAAAAGTATTCAAAAAGCAGTAAATTCAAGTGCAAAGTTTTCCAATCGAAATTAAGACCTATCAACAGGTATTTTTGAAATTTAAATATACTTAGACACTTGCATTTATTTCTTACTCCAAGTATCAACTTGAGATATTTATCGAAACTAGTTTCGATTTGCCATTTAGCATCATGCTGTGGGAGTTTTAAACATTTTCAGATATTTGCATTTCATCAACTTGAAATTGGTATTTTTGATAGTTGAGTTATTATCTCCCGTACAAGATTCAAAAGTGGTTTATTTTGACACTAACAGTTTTCTAATCATGGTGCAAAATTTGTGTTCATTTCAGTTTCCTAGACACTTGCATTTCTTGGATGTTCCAAGTATCAACATGAGTTTTCTAGTATTATTAAATGGTTCATTGATCGAGTCATTACCACAAAATTTAAATCTGGTTTGTTTTGCAATATTAGTACCAGCCTCGTGCTGAGAGAATCTCTGGCACTCTCTCTCGCTATATTTAGTATTTAAAGTGGTTGTTCTTTTAAATTGAATGTCGTGCTGGGGTCTTAATTAAATGTTTAATGCTGTGTAAAGGCTATGTTACACTGCGCAATTTTTCTTGCAACTTGCAATGCAATTCTACTTTGAAGACATGTTAATTAGTAAAGATTCTTCAAAAAGTAAGTATAAGAAACGCCATGGAGTGTAATAAAGGCAGAAGTTTGGTGGTCGCCAAATTTACATCTCTCAAAAGGAGAATTGCATTGCAAGCTGCAGGAAAAATTGCACCGTGTGACAGGCCCTTAACAAAGTGAATCTATGAATCTCGCTTTGGTTCGAGTGATTATTGATTTGTGTCCATTTCAGAGCTAGTCTCCCAGACGGACTCGACTAATCGATAACAATAACACAACTGTTTGACAATGGTTTAAATTATGTCCATCGTGATTAAATATTTCATGCTGTGGCCCAAACTGAAGCTATGAACCTCGCTTTGGTTCGAGTAATTCATTTGTGTTGATTGATTTGTGTTGAGAAAGTCCAGGCATGAAATAATACAATTGTATTTGCCTTCATCGATGAACCAAAATACAACTTGCTGAACACTAGGGTTTAAATTCTGATTAATAGTATTCAATAAAGGCTAGTTTTCACTCAGGATAATTCTCTTCTGGATCGGACAGGACAGGAAAGATTCCTTTGTATAAACGCCTCCTGAGAACTCACCGACAAAGGAAATTTTCCTGTCAGTTCCGATCCAAAGGAGATTTTTTCTGAGTGGAAACTAGCCTTAAGAGGTAATTTCAAGTGGAAAAATTTCCAATCGAAATTAAGATCTATAAACCCTTTCAAAATTAGCCAACATCTAGTGAAGTGGCACAAATTGATTTATTGAGAAGTTATTGATTTAAATTGAATATCGTGCTAGGGTCATCGTAATTAAATATTTCATGCTGTGGAGCAAACTAAAGCTATAAATCTTGCTTTGGTTCGAGTAATTGATTTGTGTCAATTTCGCAACCAGTCTCACAGAGGAAGTCCAGGCATGAAATAATAAAAAGCTATTTGACTTCATTGATGAACAAACACAACTTGCTGAACACTACGGTTTAAATTCTGATAAAAAGTATTCAATAACAAGTAATTTCAAGTGGAAAGTTTTCCAATCGAAATTAATACCTATCAATTCTTTGGAAATTAGTTAATGCTACAAAATCTCAATTGATTTATTGAAAAGTGTTTGAAATTCAGATGAAGACACAGAAGACGTAAGGATTTCAAGAGCGTATTCAAATACAGCTTTTATGCGACGTTTTAAAGGGAGGGAGGCTGGGGAGATGTCTACGGAGAAGTGTTTATGACCCATGTGTCCAAAAGCATCATTCGTCAGAAGTGTTAGTACAGTCATACTAACTCTCCTGACAAAGACCTTTAGGTCGAAACGTCGAGAATTTTTCCCGGTCTAACAGTTTTCTAACCACACTTCAATATATTGTGCCAAACATCACCTTGATATATGTCGTAATATTTATTTCTAAGTAATTTTTTTATTCATGTGGACCTACGCGATTATCTTTGACAAAAACATTTTTAACATCATGCTGCGAAACTTGTTTTTATTCCCCTCATTCAATTTGCATGTCTTCGATATTTCAAATATCAATATGATATTCCAAGTACTATCAAATTGTTCATTGAATGAGTTTTTTACAAGATTTGTAAAAACTGGTTTCCGTTTTGACACCAGCAAGATTTATTGAATCGAAACTAGTTTCGATTTGCAATTTTTACCATCATGCTGAGTGAGTTTTAAATATCTTTAGACAATTGCATTTCTTGAAACTAGTTTCGATTTGCCATTTAGCATCATGCTGTGAGAGTTTTAAACATTTTCAGATATTCGCATTTCTTTGTTATTTCAAGTATCAACTTGACTTATCAACCCTTTAAAAATTAGTACAGTCATACTAACTCTCCTGACAAAGACTTTTAGGTCGAAACCTCGAGAATTTTTTCCGGTCTAACAGTTTTTATGTCACATTTGACGAGAAGTTAGTCAGACTTTTTACTAAAGAATTTGTTCGCTGTACATGATTATTGCTAATGTTCACCGATTAATATTGAAGTCTTGAAATGAACCATCATAATATGCAATCATATCAACACATCAACAATATATTCACAAACATATTTACACTAATAATTAATTACACGTCTAGAAATACAATAGTACACGAGTATAATCCTAAATCTAATCTTAAATCTAATCCTAATCCAATCCATAAATCTCTTTAATTTCCGATAATAAAGAGGTTTAGGGATGGATTTAGGATTAGATTGAGCTCGTGTATTATGAACTTAGAATTCGGAATAACTTTCCTTACCTTTATCAGCCATGAAAACTATATCACCAAAACCCCGAGCTATCCATATATATCCTTGGAGGTCTCCCTCGATGGTCTCAATTGTCCCCATTTTAACCTAAGATTTTGAAAAATTTTAAACATTAACTCTACTACCATGATGAATTTCGTAAGCGAAAAAAGTTACAAATCCTCTCTCAAATCGAGCAGGCTACTGGGTCAGGTCTGGAACCGCAAAGCATCTATGGATTGTTTTGGTGGAAAGGTAATACAATAATACGTAAATTACGATATTTCGTAGAGCTATTCGACATAGGTCCAAAAGCCATCTTTAAAAGTTCGATTGCGTTTGGTAAAAAATAAAATCTGGACGAAAAACTTATGTAAACAAGTATAATTAATGCTCTGCATAAATTAACCCAGCTCTGAATATCAATTACCCTCTTGTAGAATTGTGATAATATGGAAGATATTCTTTGTCGGTTTCAACAATTCTTTTCATACAAAAGCGATGAAACTCATTTCTTTATTTAAGATCATAAAAAAGGTTTTTTACTCGAGATATTAAAGTCTCTTCATCAGCTTATAATGCACTCAGAGATATAAATTATTACATTCAAATGATTACTGGTTATATTTCACAATACGGATGTATAAAAAGTAACCTCACTTTAGCGAGATATTGTACGTAACTTACTTGATCAACGAGAATAACTTTCGGATATGAAGACAGAACAAGCATTTGGCTGTTGAATGAAACGATTTTCACAGCGTAGAGAAAATAAACAAGGAAATATAAGTCGATTAAAAGTCGTAGCGAGAAAGTGATTGAATTTCAACACACATCCTGATGCACGTTTGTCGCCATGCATAATAATTATTCTAAGCATCGTTTAACAAAAGGCAGTTTGACAAATCCGTGATTAATTGCTTTGTTCTTTTCTTTATCATAGCGCAGAGGTGAAAATATTTTAATTTGACCAGAATTCTTCAACCAACTCGTATTTGCTTATCAACAGCTAAAAGCCAGGGGCAGGTTGTGTGAAAGCTGGATAGCGCTATCCACCGGATAGTGGTTTTTTCAATCGCTATAAAATCGCCCGCTGTTGGTTATAACTTTGATTAAATCTTGAACAGAAGAGGTTAGGTTTTAGTGCTTTTCTCAAGCTATATTTTGGTTGTATTTTTGTGTTTTTCGCCCGCGTATTCGCAGAGTTATAAGACTGTAAAAAAGTAGGTCCATTTAAATCCTAAATTAATCAGACCAGACCGGAATCAACAAACCACACATCTTTAAAGTAACAAGACACGACTAAAACTGCAATAAGAATAGCAAGATTATAGTTATTATTGTTACATACCGTTCCAAACAGCACAATTTCTCGATGAATTTGCAGAGTTTAAAGGTTTCTTGCACAGAAGGAAGTCAGAGGGAACTCCTGCAAGAGATCGGAACATTTTCGGCACACTGTCGAGCACACTTCGGAAACACGAGATTTTACGAAGATAGGCAGTGTGATCGATCCATTATATGGTATAGATTATGCAGCTCAGTTGATTTACTAATGCAAGCTATATATTTCCAAAAGTGAAATATATATTATTTGTGACATACATCCAGTTTTTGCATGAAACATGACTATTTAGTTTTGTTAAAAGCGAATGTAAACGGTTAACCGCGATATTTTGACAATTTTTGTGCAATAAAGTTGGCATGTTTCGACACGTTTTTTTTTCCCTAGAAAATCATTTTAGATCATTTTTTTTTTAAATTACAGATTTCTTCATCTGTCATTTTGACAAAAACAACTCGTCGCCATTTTGAAAAATCCGATCAGCTGATTATTGCGTAATAATTCGAGGTCGCTCGACCAATCAGAAGCCAGAACTTTCAAAAATCACTTTTGCAATTATTATAAGAATTCACTTTATATTATTAAGCTTGTAACGCCATGCCTTGTGAGCTTTTTGGGTTAAAACAACTGGTCAATTCACGCTTCGTTAAAACGTTTGATAGCAACTAGGAAGAATTATCCTGAATAACCATCGTAAAAATAATTAGGCTTAGTTTAGAAGTATCTATCTTTTATTGGTCAATATTTATCATCAAACTTATTTCACTAATTAATCTAATGTCCTGCTTATTTCTAATGTCCATTGGTTAAGATTAAAATGTCAAATTGAACCTATTTACACACTAATAATATTGGTTAAACCTCACCAGACGCCACAGTATAAGAATATAGAAATATTATAGATGACAAAAGCAGTTATCAACATTGGTTAGGGTAAAATATTGACTACATGATTAAAACATTATATATCTATATCTATTTATCTTATGTTATATATTTACACACTAATAATATTGGTTAAACCTCACCAGACGTCACAGTATAAGAATATAGAAATATTATAGATGACAACAGCAGTTATCAACGTGACGTGGAAAATGACTGTTTCTTGATATATGAGAAAACCGAAATATAAATAAAATACTTCATGTTAGATTCAGGATTGTGATTAAGGACAGACTTCTGGTTGGTCATATATCAAGAAAGCGCCGAAACAATGATTGACCATCACGACACAAAATATTATCATATTCATGCAAGGACACAATAAGAAGTTTATATTGGGAAAACTTTCAGATGTGAGGTTTTACAACAGCAGTTGCATACCATCTCCTTTCTATCATTCCTGGCTGTTCTTCCCAGCCATTTCCACCAACGCTGAAGGTTTCCACTGAGTTGAGCTCTTTCTGCTTACGATTGAATCCACCAAACACGACAATGACGTCATTCATGATGACAGCTGAGCAGCCGCTCCTTTTGTAAATCATGGAGGGCAGTTTCTCACTTCGCCCCGTCTCAGCGTCATACATGATGACGTCACTTAATGCCTCTTCATTCTCATCCTGGCCGCCAACAAGGATGATCATATTACCCCAGGTGACTGTTGACATGCGACTAACGGGCTGAGGTAAAGATGGATATGGTTTGAACTCATTGTTAATCAAATCATAAACAACAACGCTGTCAAGAGCATCTTTACCACGGCCGGTTGTTGTTCCGCCGAAGATAAATAGTTTTCCATTAACAAGTTCTGCTCTGTGATCGCATCTTGCCTCAGGCATTCTCGTCAACAGCTTGGTAGTAGTATAAGGTGGGGTAAGAGCAATCTCATAAATGGCAGTCGATGCTTTTCCTTCATTCTCGTCATATCCTCCTATTATATATAATTTTCCTTGATAAACTATGACGTCATGACTGGATAATTTGACAGGCAGTTTACCATCAAACATTGTCCATCGCAAAGGATGTTGGTTCATCTTCAATACTTCGATCCTGTCAGTTCCTTCTTTACCATCGAAACCACCAACGACTAGGATGTCATGGTCGTAAACACACGATGCTGATAATGCTCGAGGATGATTCAATGGTGGCAACATAGTCGACCTCTTCTCAACAATATTATATTTTTCAACAGTATTCAAAGGGGGTGTGTACACAAAGTCATACCAACCTCCAAGAATAATAACGTCTTGGTTGTTAGTGGGAATTGTGGGATCCGTAGCTTGAGCACCATTTCTGTTGAAAATATTTTCTTGGAATAGCTGACCAAATAATCCTTCAACTCTTTCCAACTTGCGTTCCATCATCTGAAATGAAAAGTTACGGTGTAGCAACATTAGTGCTTTGAAATCTCAGCGGAAATCCAATTTTTTTCCAAATGCAGCTCCAGAAATCCAAATTTTATTTTGTTCCGATGGATCTTCTAAAGCGTTAAAAATTACATTTCGATACATCAGTTTAATAATTACATCATTTCGCAAGGGATCCAACGCGCATTGCACGTTTACTTTTGAACCAGGCCGTCCAGGGAAATGACATAATTATCGAGAGTGTGCTTTTCGTCACGTGACAGCTTATATGATAATCAATGACCAGCAATTATGAAATATTATCACAATACTTTCTTACCTCCATTTTCTCTACTTTCTCGTTAATTCCTGATTGGGTTTGTTTCATCTTGTCAAGAGCTTTCTAAAATAACAACCTCACTCACGTTCATACTCATTTAATATGAATTACCTCGGAAATGGGGGGATGGAAACAAGTTAAGGTGAAGATGAGTCTGGATGTAGAATATGCTGATTATCTCAAAGGTAAAACTGCTTATTATTATTATTAAATTTATTATTATTAAAGATCATTTTTATTATTATTAAATTTTATGTAGCAAGAATATAGAAGAAACATCATTTTTATAAGAAACATCATCTTATACTAATTCCTAAGAGAGAGGATTGCTGTCTTTCGTAGATATCGCCTTGACTATATCAGTTAAAAATTAACCTTCGTCTCATCTTGTCTCACTTCCATTTGATCTTGTTTTCTTGCCATTTCAAGGTGCTTAATATTCAGCTCAGCTTGAGACGGTGTCAGTTTGTTGACATTTGTCTAAATCATAGCATGATGGGTAAAATATTTTAACTATTTTATTTATAACTGTATATAACTATATATAACTGTATTGAGCCACCTAAAATATCACGTTCGTCGTGATTTATTTTCCACTGTCCATTTGTTTTTTGTACCTACGTCTACTCACGTAAAAGTTTCAAATCATTTCAAATGATACTCATGAAATCAACAATTCAATAGACGTATAGCGTTGGCTTCTGTTGATGATTTTTTCTGATGTGTTTTTCTCTGGCATAAAATTAATAATACAACAACCTTTACGTGTGTGTACGTACGTCCAAGAAACGCGACAGTGGAAAGCTGGAAAGCTTTATTTCATTTGTGCTAATTTGTTTTGTGTGTAAATATGCGCGTCCCTCGTTTCATTAGGATGAAATAAGGTAGCCCAAAGGTTCCTTGCCATATAGTGTATAACTCATCTCAAATTATTATTGTATATGTTCTATTGTATATATTATTGTATATCTTTTTTTGCAAAATAAATTGAATTGATTGATTGACTGATTGACAATTACAAGAATTAAAATACGTTTACTCGGGAAATTTGCAATAATCGATTCATGCGTTAATACCACTGAGCTATAGTCGCATCCTGTTAAGTCCTGGCTACAAATGATCATTCACTTTTTAAATACTTGTATATCTAGCGCCAAAACACACTTGCGACGACGAAAAATAATAACCCCCCCCCAAAAGACACAACAAAACCATCTCTCATGCCGGAGTAAAAATGGGGGTCATCAAACACGTTTGTGATATAAACACGAATAAACCCAGTTCGGCGGCTATTTTAAAACGTCTCTGTTGCTACGGTAACAGGTGTCAGGCACAAGTTCTAAATAGATTTCCGCTCTAGATAAATGTTTTGCTAAAAATGAAGTGGTCAAGAAATATTTATCAATTCCCTCTGAGTTGTATCAATGATGATTAATTGCTTATAATTGGTTATCACGGTGAAAAATGAGAATAAGAAAGTAATTGTAAAACCAGCTAGTGATGTGCCGAGATTGGTATCACTGGGGATGCCATAAGGTTTGCTCAATATCTTGTACAATTTATCATCACATTTCCAAAACGCCTTAATTGTGGGACTTTGATATTGTTGGGTGCTTCATTTAGGCATAATGTTGGCAAAAATATTCACTAATCACCTTCATTTTCTTCACTGTTTCATGTATTTTCCCATATTTTCTTTTATTTCCAATGACCTCATTTTTTTTCTCCTCTTCTATTTCATTCGTCAAAGTACGAATTTCTTCATAACTATTGTTGACTTCATTCACTTGCTGACTGTATAAATTTTGACTTTCCTCCATTTCATCAAGTCTTCGCGAAATACGAGTAATGTGAGGTTCAATCTCACGGCGACAATTTTCACACGACACTGGACGGTATTCGCAATTATTTGCGTGATCCTGAAGGTTTCCAAGTTCAACTTGCTCCGGACACCCACGATCGATGTAAACACATTTGATTTTTAGCTCTGATAAAATGGTCCTTATTAACCCTTGGGGATGTTTCAGAGTTGCTAGAGTAAGGTGTTGTCGACACTTGGGGCATTTTTCATCGTTAGCAAGGGATCGTGTTATACAACTCAAACAAAACAGATGTTCTCCTGCCTCGCATAATCGTGGATTCTTCAAAACACAGAGGCAAATACAGCAAATTAAATCATGTCTAATTTGACCAATGAACCGTTCTGGTTCATAGCCTCCGTCCATGATGAGCTCAATTTATCTGAAAAAATTTCATAATTGTTATGTGCTTTAACCCTTAGAAATCCAGTCCACGGAATTATTGAAAAGTGAAATGATGAAATAAACCTTTATTGCACTGTAGCCATAGACGATTCAATGGCGATAAAATTATTTAATTGAAGTAACAATGTACTTCGTTTTAGGCATTCAATAAAACTGGACCGATGGCGTAGACGACACAAATAATAGACAACGATTTTCGTTTCGAATTGAGTACACCTTAGCAGTGTAATTTACAATCTGAAGTCAAATTTAGGCTAGAGAGAGAAATAGAGAAAGAATATAGGTATTTGTTTCCACGAAAGGGTTTTGATATTCAAATTCAAGCCAGCAAAATCTCTTATACTATATGCCAACATTACTCATGAAGTGTTGATCTCGAGAATCTGGTAAAGTGTAAACGTGGCGACCAATGGAAATATCAAACCTACAGTGATTGGTAGCGAGGCTGATATTGACACTAACAGACCATGCAACTTAAACCACACAAAGATAATCAAATAAGACTTACCAAAGATGATGAATTATGACAGATTTTTACGTAACGATTTTGGAACAAGCTGGTGTTAACGCGTTCGACGGTATTTTGTGTCTAAGACAACACCTTGAAATGTCGTATTATTTATTGTCTTCAAAACATTGCGTGATGTCCACGTCATTCAAAAATCATTCTTGCGAAACTACGCAGTTTGCTGTGACAAAAATATTTTCAACATCATGCTGCGAAACTTGTATTTATTCCCGTCGTTTAATTTGCATGTCTTCGATATTTCGAGTATCAATGGAATATTTCAAGTTCTTTCAAATGGTTTGTGGATTGAGTTATCATCCTTTTTACAAAATTTGTAAAAACTAATTACGAAACTAGTTTCGATTTGCTATCTTTACCATCGTGTTGAGAGAGTTTTAATATCTTCAGAGATTTGCATTCTTTGTTATTCAAAGTATCAACTTGAGATTGGTATTATTGATAGTTGAGTTATTATCTCGCATACAAGATTCAAAAGTGGTTTATTTTGACACTAACAGTTTGCTAAACTTGTGCGAAAATTGTATTCATTTCACACACTTGCATTTCTTTGTTATTTACCAAGTATCAACTTCAGATTGGCATTATTAATAGTTGAGTTATTATCTCGCATACAAGATTCAAAAGTGGTTTATTTTGACACTAAAAGTTTACTAAACACGGTGCGAAAATTGTATTCATTTCAGACACTTGCTTTTCTCTTTTATTTACCAAGTATCAACTTGAGATTGGTATTATTGATAGTCGAGTTATTATATGTGTATATGAGTATATCATCCTCAAGGAACGCCTCGCCGCCCAATAGTTCATAGTTGTGTTTACACTGTACAATATTCCCTCTGTCTCTGACACGATATCGTATTTTCCAGTTTGAGAACGCTCTGAACACTTTGAATTAGGATTTTACAATAAAATCAAACAATAATTGTGAATGAACTAAGATTTGTTGACAAAGATTACTCGAAAACGACAAGGGTTAATCTCGTGACTCGGGAATCTGGTAAAGTGTAAACGTGGCGACCAGTGGAACTATTAAACCTACAGTGATCGGTAGCGAGGCTGATATTGACACTGACAGACCATGCAACATAAACCACACAAAGATAATAAAATTAGACTTACCAAAGCTGATGAATTACGACAGATTTTCGCTTAAATATTCTGTGGTAAGCTGGTGTTGACGCGATCAACGATATTTTGTTAAAGACAACACCTTGATACCTTGTGCAATATTTGTTGTATCCACGACATCATTCATAACTTACGTCATTCTGTCATCGCGCTGTGAAAGTTCATTTTATTTATTGAATTCTTTGCATTCATTGATATCCCAGTGTCAACGTGAGATTACTAGTATTATGGTCGAGTCATTGACTGATATATTATTGTTCGCAAGAACACAAAATTTATCAATACGTCTTTGTTTTGAGAATACCATTTCAAGAATCATGTTCCGAGAATTAATTTGTATTTTGAGAAACGCGTTTGCACTTGAATCTACTACGGATATTGTGCCTTTGATTCTTCGAGTGTTATTGGGTTATTGTAATTTAATATTTACTGATATTTGACTTAAGTTTAGTGAGTTTGTTCTAGTCTGGTTTAGCGTTTAAGAAACTATCTCGCTTAGTCGAGATGCCTTGCTCTATGTAATCAGACAGACACTGTGTTGTCCAACTATATCAATTTAAGACCCAAAGTAATGTCACTGATTTGTGTCATTCGTTAGACAAGATTTGTCAGAGTTGGATTTCACAAATTTGACAGAAAGAATTTTGCACTTTGAGAGAGGCGTTTGTATTTGTGATCACTACGAGTTTTGTGCCTGTAATTAATTTGAATGCATGTTGATAGTTCATGATGGTTCATTGATTGTAATTTAATATTTCATACGACTGAGGACAGTTTTAAAATAATCGCAGTTTATTGCACGTTATTTTTGAACAATCGCTTTATAGTTGTGTGTTAAGGCCCTGTCACACTGTTGCGTATAAGAGGAACGTATGAGTCGCGTATAAAGATCGTTTCATTCATTTTTATACGCACGAAAAAGTCTGTAAAAATAGGACATTTTGCATAAAATTAACTTATTAAACGTATGAGTATCGTATGAGTAGCCTGTCGCTGGCGTATGCAAGCGTATGAATAGCTTACGAGAAGCGTTTGAAATGCGCATGTCAAGCATACCAATGGCGTTTCACAGACTTTAATCGTATATAAGCGGCAGTATTTTCACACGGCTCCATTCGAGAAAATGTCAAACCTCCAGTGAAAAAAGAAGAAGACACCATGGCAAATACGAAGACATCATCTACCCGCGGACGAAGGAAAGGAAAGAGGACTCCATCATCAGCCGTTGCCAAAGCTGACGAACAACGTGTTTGTGCACCTGCAGATGTAGTTGAACCACCTGATGATGATGCACTTATTCCTGAAACATCTTTAAATAATGCGCAACATGTTCCTGAGCTCTCAAAGTCCCCAACACAACCTTCCTAAGACTCCCATAATTCATTGGCTTTATCATCTGAAACCATTGATGACTTTACTTCCTTCCGGCGGGCTGATAGCAAGGAGAAAAATAAGAGGAAGAGGGCGAAAAAAAACCCCTACAACCTCAGCGCCACAGAAGAGGAGCTGATGCTGGAGTTTATCATGGACAATCCTGTGCTGTGGAATGTGAAGATGACAGATTATAGGCGAAAAGACAAGAAAGAGAAGATCTGGGAAGAGCAAGCACATCAGATGAATAAGACTGTTGACATCCTCAAGGGCTGGTTCAGATCGCTGCGCGACACCAATACGCGCCTTGACAAAAAGAAAAGCGGGGATAGTGCTCCAAACCTGACTAAGAGAGAACAGTGGATCCTCTCAAAGTTTGCCTTCCTGAAGACTGTCACTCGCCACCGACCGGAGCCCATGCAGAGTGTAAGTATACAACCATATTACCTTAGCAACATGATAACCAAGTAATTTGAGACAATTTCCACATGATATTTTTGGTTTTTTTAGGTGAAGGAAACCATCCAGCTTCACAGAGGAGATCTCAATGCTGCCGAGAGTGCCTGCGCTGATATGCAGGATGTCTTAGATGAAGTCACTCCAATACCATCATCTACCGCTGGAAGGTCCCACAAGCGACCTCAGGACACAGAGAGTGACGTCCTTGAGACTCTACAGAAGAGAGTTGCTGAGTCTGGCACCATCCTCAAAGACATCTACAAAGCTAAACAACAGCCCATTACAGCACGAAGTGTCTTTGCAAATTATGTTAAAGAGAGCCTTTTGACTATGTCCAAGTCCAAGTACAAGAAGGCAAGGTCCTCCATCAATAGGTTATTGTCTGAACTCATGGATGAGGACAGCGATGATGAATTTCCAAGTGCAATGGCGGCTCCATCTATCAAAGTGAACCAACAAGGGATCCCTTCTCAACCACCCCACGATTTGCACCCCACTACAAAGTCACCCGAACATTACTAGTCTTTCAGGATTTCGAGACATCATGGAATCTACTGATGATATTGGATTTCAGGATGAGGTTCTCAACCTTCAACCACCAACGTGAAAGAAGTATTGACTATAGACCACGGCGGCTGTATGGCTTCATCATTGTCTCTCGGAGGGCAAAGGCATCGTCACCTACAAAGAAGTAGGGGACACTCTGATAGTCATTTGGTAAAGCATCGGGGATGGGGAATCCTATAGTTCCGTCTTCTGTTAATTCTTTGATTTCAGAGTTGTTGTAGATCTGTGCGTCCGATGATGACCCTTTACCACCGAGGTCTGCCCAGATGAATTTATAATCTGCGTCTACAAGGCCCATGAGTACAACAGAGAAGAATCCCTTTTAGTTGAAATATTGGGATCCACTTTTTGGTGGACATTTGCAGGCAATGTGCTTTCCATCTATAGCACCACATGTATGGGGGAAGTTCCACCTCTTGAGGAACTTATCAGATATGGCACGCCATCCCTCTGGCGTGGTAGGGCAGGTCATTACTTCGGACATGTATTCGTCGATGATGGCTTGGCAAACCTCTCTGACAATAAGTGACTGGGTGTTGTGGGGGACCCTCCATCCGTACTTCATGGCTGAACGTGCTCCCAGAGGCAAGGTGTCGCAAAGTCAAAGAGAGGTTCAGCCCAGGCTCCAGGGGTCGCCTATACCAGGTATGTTTCTTGGTGATCCTGCAGGGACTCGCTCTTGCTAGAAGCTCATCAAACATCTCGGGGACCATCCGCATAAAGTTCTTGAAACATCGCGTATCCTCGCTTCGGAGTTCCACCAAAAGTTGGTCGTAAATGCCAAACTGCCTTCGCCTTCCGATCCATAATCTCATCCATACCTCACGTCTTTCTCTTTTTCTTTTTCTCCTTTTCCTTCTGTTATTTTCTATGTGACGAATCGTCAAAGCTATGAGATCAAACTGGTATTCAAGAACAGCTAACTCCATCCTTTATCCTCGAAGGTACAAGATGATATGAAGGCATCCAACATAAATATATATTATAGACAAAAAATGACATGCTGTTCGGCCTCCTTCGGTCTGTGGTGACCATGGGTTGAAAATCCTAGTTGTCTGTCCTGCTGGAACAGCGCCGCCTGTGGCTGAACAGGCCGATGCGCGAATGGCAGTCTCTGTCACACAAGTCACACTTGTGGATTGTCTCTGTGCTGTGAGAGCGGTCACGTTCTTTTCTGCGGGCTCGCTTTTCCTCCGCAGCACCTTTCAGCCGCTCCTCTCCTGTCTTCAGCTGTGTGGTCGCTGTGCTTCTCCATCTGGAGCGGTCGTCGGCCAGGCTCTCCCAGCGCTCTGTGTCGATCTCAAGAGCTTTCATGTCCCTCTTGCAGACATCTCTATAGCGCAGCTTTGGGCGGCCAGTGCCTCTCTTGCCACTCGCCAGTTCTCCGTAGAGGATGTCTTTGGGGATACGGCCGTCCTCCATGCGGTGAACATGGCCCAGCCAGCGTAGCCTTCGTTGTCTGAGCAAGGTAAACATGGTTGGAAGGCCGGCGCGAGACAAGACTTCGGTGTTGGGCACTTTGTCCTGCCACGAAATGCCCAGTATGCGGCGGACGCACCTCAGGTGGAAGGCGTTCAGTCTTCTTTCTTGTTTGGCGTAGGTCGTCCACGTCTCACTCCCGTACAGTAGTGTACTGAGGACACAGGCATTGTACACTGCCATCCTGGTCTTGATGGAAAGTTTGGAGTTCTCCCACACTCGTGTGGTGAGGCGAGCGAGTGTTGTTGCTGCCTTCCCAATTCTTTTGTCCAGTTCTGTGTCCAGTGAGAGGTTGCTGCTGATCGTGGACCCCAGGTATGTGAATTCGTTCACGACTTCCAGCTCGTAGTCGTCGATGGTGATAGATGGTGGCACTTCCACGCTCTGTCCCAGTACGTTGGTCTTCTTTAGACTAATAGTAAGCCCGAAGTCCTTGCAGGCCTGGGAAAAGCGGTCCATCAGGGTCTGGAGCTCCTGCTGTGTGTGTGTTGCGACTGCAGCATCGTCGGCAAACAGCATGTCGCGGATCAGGGCCTCTCGTACTTTGGTTTTGGCTTTGAGGCGGGCAAGGTTGAACAGCTTGCCGTCGGATCTGGTGTGTAGGTAGATCCCCTCTGTTGATGAGCCGAAGGCGCTTCAGGAGCAATGCAAAGAAGATCCCGAAGAGAGTCGGGGCGAGGACGCAGCCTTGTTTGACGCCGCTGCGTATGTCGAATGGCTCCGAGATACTGCCGTCGTACTGTACAGTTCCCTTCATATCAGTGTGGAAGGATTCGACGAGGCTCTGCAGCTTTGGGGGGCATCCTATCTTTGGCAGGATCGCGAATAGGCCTTCTCTGCTGACCAAGTCGAAAGCCTTCGTCAGGTCAATGAAGGCAACATACAGCGGCATGTTCTGTTCTCTGCATTTCTCCTGGAGTTGGCGGAGGGAGAAAATCATGTCTACCGTTGATCTGTTGGCGCGAAAGCCACACTGGGACTCAGGGTAGACGCGTTCGGCGAGTTTCTGTAAGCGAACGAGGATGACGCGCGCGTACACCTTGCCAACTATGCTGAGGAGAGAGATCCCCCTGTAATTGTTACAGTCGCTTCTTTCGCCCTTGTTTTTGTAGAGGGTGATGATCTTGGCATCCCTCATGTCTTGAGGTACAGCACCTTCCTTCCAGCACTGGCAGAGGACTTCGTGCAGTGGACGCAATAGGGCAGTCTTGCAGTGCTTGATCAGGTCGGGTGGTATACCGTCACTGCCTGGAGCTTTTCCTGCGGCCAGGCTGTCAATGGCCTTATTGAGCTCATCCAAGGTTGGCTCCGCGTCGAGCTCGTTCATGGTCGGTAGGCACTCGATAGCATCAAGAGCTAAGGGGGACACTGTGTTCTGTCTGGAGTAGAGGTCGGAGTAGTGTTCCACCCATCTCTCCATCTGCTGGCCCTTGTCTGTGATGGTTTCCCCAGTGGAGGATTTGAGGGGTGCCGTCTTGCTCTGAACTGGGCCCAGTGCCTTCTTGATGCCATCGTACATCCCTCTGATGTTCCCAGTGATGGCGGCAGTCTGAATGTCTTCACTTAGCTGCATCCAGTACTCGTTGGCGCAGCGCCGTGCCGTCTGCTGGACTTTGCTCCTTGCAGCTCTGAGGATCTGGAGGTTCCTCTCGTTTGGGGTCCGCTTGTACTCGGTGAGAGCAGCGCGCTTGGCTTCGATGACAGGGGTCATCTCAGTCGTCTTGGCTTCGAACCAATCATGCGACTTGGTGGTTTTCTTCCCAAAGGTAGTCAAGGCTGTGTGGTGTATGGTGTTTCGCAGTCCTCCCACCTCTTCGTTGCAGATTCCTCGTGCCCCAAGGTGCCAAGCTCCTTCTCAAAGGCGGCGGCGAACTGCTCCACAAGTTCTGGTTGGGCCATCTTGCTGGTGTCAATGCGTGCCTTTCCTTGCTGTCTGGCGCGGTGGAATTTCTTTGGCTGCATCCTGAACTTGCAACACACCAGTGAGTGGTCTGTGTCACAATCCGCACTCTGGTAGGAACGGGTCAGTAGCACGTTCTTCAGGGAGGTGCGTCTGGTCAGGATCATGTCCAGCTGGTGCCAGTGTTTGGAACGCGGGTGGCGCCAGGAAACTTTGTGTTGTGGCTTGGTCTGGAAGTAGGAGTTGGTAATGCACAAGTTGTAGTACGTGCAGAACTCCAGTAGACGCTGTCCGTTTTCATTCATCTTGCCCACACCAAATTCACCGAGGCAGGACGGCCAGGAGTCATGATCGGCGCCCACTCTGGCGTTGAAGTCGCCAAGCAGAACTAGTTGTTCTGTGCTGGGGATATTCCTGACAGTGGCTGCTAGGTTCTCATAGAACTCGTCCTTGGCTTCTGGGGTGGCGGCCAGCGTTGGGGCGTAGACACTGACGAGAGTGACAGGGCCTTCAGTGGTGTTAAGGCGGAGAGTCAGGAGTCGCGCAGAGCCGTTGCTGCCTGGTTCAACCATCTTCAGCAATGTATTCCTAACTGCAAAGCCCACTCCGTACTCCCTGGGCTCGTTGGAGCCCTTTCCCTGCCAGAAGAACGTATAGTCTTTCTCTCTCAGTGTGCCCGAGTCAGCCAGTCGTGTTTCCTGCAGGGTAGCGATGTCTACGTTCAGTCTCTTCAGCTCGTCGTTGATGACGGCGGTCTTCCTGGCGTCGCTGATGTGTTTGAGGTTTTCTGCGAGGCCGGTCATCATAGTTCGTACGTTCCAGCTTCCCAGTTTTAGAGCTGGTATTTTTCTTTGTTTTGTTATGCCTGGTGCGAGATTTGCAGTCTGCCGTTCAGATTTCTCCTAATCCCCATGCACCCAATGGGGCAAGCAGACCGTGGCGGGACAGCACCTTATTGGCTGGGGGATGCCCAGCTTGAGGCGGGCGATAGCTGTCCAATGGCATCCGAAAATGCCTCCCACCGTCGAAAGCAATCCTTGGCGCCAAGCTCTACGCCAATCGAGCGATGACTTATAACCGGTATCTATTGCTTCCCGTGTTGTGTCGACGCCGAGGGCGAAGCTGGAGTGTCCTCTCCAGTGTATGGTCTGGGTTTTGGTACGTTGTGGTAGGATTCTAGCCTGGGCAAAATGATATGGAGGACGGGCTGTTGCCCATGCAGCGTGTCCCCCCTCTCCACGTCGTTGGTGGATCCAAAGGAACAGCAGGCTGTTACAGTTTGGCACCAGCGCCGTCGCAGGAGCTGCCAGAACGAGGTTGAAGCTAACGACGAACTGCCTTAGGGGCTCCGACTCCGGATTTTTCCTCAGGGTTGACTCCCGAAGCCTTTCCAGTGAACGGGTATGCCGCAAGGCAGCGGAGGTTTGAAATCAGGGTTTTCCTTCCCCTAGGTGGACTGCCTTCCCAGGCTGTCGAGCCCCACCTGCCCGAAGCAATCTGGTTTTAAGGCGCCAGAGATCCGCCTGCAACCCTTCTCCTGTCAGTAGAAGCAGTCCCGCGACGAGCACGCCAGGAGCTGGACTTAGTTGTCAGAGGCTATTTGAGCACGCACGCCATATGGGAGCATTTTATAGGTAGTGGGAGCTTATCCCCAATACCACCCCCGGCTATGACAACCTATAATATTTATAATTATACCCTTTCTCGTAACGTTTGCAATACGCTGAAGATACGACGACCAGGCGTTAACTATACGCTAATTGTACGGTAAATGCGTTACTTAATCGTCAGTCATACGCTAAGCCCTCTATAGACGTTAAACATACGTCACACATAAGTTTGACCTTCGTTACTGATGCGCTATCAACACGTTAGTTGTACGGCACACTTACTCATTTGCGTATGATTAGCGTACTCAACCTATTAATACAGTACATTTAGCGTCCTTCTGCCGTATTCAGCGTATGACTAGCTTATCTTTACCGTATAAACCATACGTCCAAACACGCACAAGATTTTTAAGCATGCTTAAAAAAAATTTTCTTCCTCGGCGTATACCAGCGTATGTGACCGTGCTCGGAACGTGTATAACTTACGCACGACGTACCACCAGCATATTTCAGCGTATTCCGGCGTATGCGTGATATTTATCATACGCTGCCATACGCTAATGTGATACGCAACAGTGTGACAGGGCCTTTAATGATAATTAACCTTTCCTCATCACTGCAAAATTTGAAATCTATTCACGCCAAAGCAGTCAAAATGTATGTACAGTAATCTACAAGAATATTATGATGTAGGGTGTATCAAGCCCGTTTAGCTTAAACGGTGAATAAGTCAGAATTAAATAACACTCTTACAACTCCCTTGAATGAGTCAACTTGAATATTATGCACTGAATATGTAGTTGTAAACAGTAGCTTTATATTAAGGTCAAAAACATGTTTCGTTCGCTTGTTGAATAAAACGGCAGACTTCCTTTCTATTTTGAACTTATCCACCGTTTAAGCTAAACGGGCTTGATACAACCGGCCCCTGAGTGTTTACTAATTCACATGTCGCAATTCCTGGCTTGTGCTACGCGGAATCATAAATATCTACAGCGAATTACAATGAATTAAGATTTTGGAATCGAGACGAATTGAAACGAATGAAACCGGACTAAAATCTCGTTAAAAGCGACTCAAAATTATTAAATTATCAGCATATTGTGCCAGAGTTAATCGTGTCAATGCGTGCATTTTGTTATTTAAGATTGCTTACATCTCGACTAAAATAAATATGTAAACACACTTACCACAAAATGTCGCGATATACATTCACGGTGGCAATATAGCTTCTTTCATTGTGGTGTAAAACTGCATCTTTAGAGCTTTCCAAATGACTGAATAAAACGCGCAACTTCTCGTGACGAATGGGGTGATCTTGTTTACCTTATATGGACATCAAAAACCCTTTACTTCCTGTTAAAAAGTTTCGCAATTTTAAAAACATGATAATAATCATATGTTATATCACAGAACTAGACATTATATCGCTGTTATTGTCAATAGATTAATATAGACAAAATCAATCGCTTTTTTAATCGATCACTTTATGATATGCAAGATTTCAGAGAAGCATGCCTGCCAATAATTTCTAGGAATTATTATTTATTTCCCAGTAATATTGAAGCATGCTGACGTGGAATTTCCTAAAGTTTTATCCGAGGATCACAGTTTGATCAAGATTAAATATGTATTTGTGTGCAAAGTTTTCTTGTTTACAAAAACCACCTCTGAGCCTGTTATCAATTTATATTTCGGTCACTAATATAGAAAAAATTCATGTAATTTAAATACGAGGACAGAAATTTATCAACAGGAGTCCCTGCTTCACCCGCACCTGCCTGCGATTCCTTATAACGAGGAAAAGGCGGAAAGATTGCAACCAAAATACCAAATGACAACTTTTAAACACAGTTTATTACAGGATATTTTTAAACTATCGTTTTATAGTTGTGAATTAATGATAACACTTCACTCATCACGAAGTCCTTTGTGATATAATCGCTAGTTTATAATCAATATTTTACCAACGGCGAAAAGTCCCTTGAATTATTAAAGACAGTCAAACAACATTCGTTGCCTCGCTGTTTGAACTCAGAAAAATAGCCAGAAATTATGTCCGGTTAAAAACACGTTGAAAAGTTCGCTAAATGCTGCTAACTTTGCACACGAAATCGCTTAAAATATAAACAAACTCACCAGTAATTTTCGTAGCGACAAAATTCTGCCTTTCTTGTCTCAATTCCTTTCTCTTTGAGTTATAATACGAAGTCTCGTCTTATTACCATAATCCTCAAAGTTCATTTCCTGTCCGGAAATTAAACAATTATTGAAGTTAGTCCAGTACGTATTTCACATAAGTAACAGTTCTCAACTTTATATGTTATTTGTTAGCCAAAGAATACTGGAATAATCTTTTAAAGGTTCATATAATAATTTTTGTAAACATAGGTCGGTAATAACAAATGAATAGACTTATATTAGAGTGGTCGAGATGACCACGGCTCTGGTGTTTAAGAAAAGTTGGCGAAACTTAAATACATAAAAATTTGAAAAAAAAAGTTTAAACTCACTAAAAATTTTCTTTGAACAAAAGAATGATCTCATGACTTGCTTTTTCCTTCAGTAAACAATGTCATTTGTTCTTAATATGTTGTGATTTAGGAACGAATCGTATTGATCGCCATTAAAACATGGATAATCTACCTTTTATTGATCAATATTTATCATCAAACTTATTACTCCGGCGTCAGCGACGGAGTTGAAAATTCGCCTTGGTTTTGTTCTGTTGTTTGTTTTTTTTTTTATTTTTTTTATTTTTCGTCGTCGCAAGTCTGAAATGGCGGGAAACTTTCTAGTACTTAAAGTGTGTATGTGACTGTATTTATTTACGTCCCAGTCTTATCTCCCAAGAGTTGTGGTGCACAGCTTTGGCTAATTTTCCGATGCGCGATTCGATTTCGCTCGTATGTTACGGCAATTCCTTCAAGAGGAACAAATAAGCCGTTGTTTTCATGCTCTTCGATTAAGTTTAGATTGAATTGGAGTAAGAATATATTTAATACATGTAGATTCTGGTCCTATTTTAATAATATCGCTGCTATTTCGCCGTTTAACAAGATGATGTGGTCGTGTATGGGCGCGTTGACACGTCGTAGTTTGCACAGGATTGAAGATATAATATATAAGCGCAAATTCCAAAGGCTAAGTGTGAGACAAAGCGAATGTATCATGCGGTTTGTTTACATTTTCGAACAATTGAACTTCTATATTTTTTAAAGTACGATGTGCTGCTGAATTTCGCGATCGAACATTTAGCTTCGTAAGGCATCTAAATGCGAATATGAATTGTATTGTTTATGTTCAGAAGCTCTATATTAAAGACTGGCACGTGCGCCGGAGTTAACGCCAGAACAGGCGTCTTGTTTCACTAATGAATCTAATGTCCTGCTGATGGACATGGCTTGAACTCATTTTTGATGAAATCATAAACAATAACGCTGTCAAGAGCATCTTCAGACTTGCCAGTTGTTGTTCCCCCCAAGATAAATAGTTTTCCATTAACAAGTTCTGCTTTGTGATTTTGTCTTGCCTCAGGCATTCTCGTCAGCAGCTTGGTAATATAAAGTGGGGTAACAGCAATCTCATAAATGGCATTCGATGTTTTTTCTTCATCCCAGTCATATCCTCCTATTATATATAATTTCCCTTGATAAACTATGACGTCATGTCCAAATAATCTGCGAGGCAGTTTAGAATCAAACATTGTCCATCGCAAAGGATGTTGGTCTATGTTCAAAGCTTCGATCGTGTCAAGTGCATGTTTACCGTAACCACCAACGAGAAGAACGTCATTGTCGTAAACACACGATGCTGATTGTTCGCGAAAGTGATTCAATCGTGGTAACATTGTCGACGTCTTCGCACCAACATTGTATTCTTCAAAAGTGTCTAAGGTGACTTCACCGCTATACCAACCACCAATAATAACGAATTATGGGATCATCCTCGGCTTGAGTACTGTTTCTGTTGGTTGTTCTTTCTTTTGTTAGTTGATCAAGTAATCCATGAAATCTTTCGAACCGCTGATGTATCCCAAAAAAATTAACATGAATTGCAAGACAAAGTCACAGTGTAGTATAATTAATTAGTGCTTGGAAATCTTAGTTTTAATCCTGCATTATTGCCTGAAGCGACTACTGATAATGCTGAGACTTGTGTAGAACTTGCTCTTGTATGCATAATGGAAAATTATGCATTTTGGAAGCCTTAGAAATGCATTTAACGTGTTTTTCTTACTGTTTTACGTCAAAAACGCTGCGAAGAGCTTGTAGTAGCTCAGTGAAATATGAAAACCAGCCGAGAAACTATTTTCATATTTTCGATTTTTTCGGACACATGTGAATTATTGACAGTTTGTTGAGGAACTAGGATAATTTGAGTGCTTTGGCCAATTTATCTGTCATATTCAGACTTCAAAACAACTTAAAAATGCTTAAATTTTGCAAATAAAAAGTGTATTTTTATCGAAATTTTGTTAAACAGAGGCGGAATGCAATTTACTCGACAAACGTCATCATCGGAAAAATCGTCAGCAAATTTCTGATTGGCTGTTGAAAGTTCGGAAAATCACGCAGACAATTTTTCTTCATTGAGTTAGCCTTCGTGATTTTTCCGAACTTTCAACAGCCAATCAGAAATTTGCCGACGATTTTTCCGATGATGACGTTTGTCGAGTAAATTGCATTCCGCCTATGTTTAACAAAATTTCGATAAAAATACACTTTTTATTTGCAAAATTTAAGCATTTTTAAGTTTTAAGTCTAAAAATGACAGATTAATGTAGTAAATATATCCAAGGTGTTTTTTTTCTATTTTTTTTTAAGAAACTAGCGTAATTTTTGTGTTTCAAGCGATGGTGTTAATTTATGTATTATATATTTTTTGTGAGAGAGTTGCTGCATTGACTGGGCTGCTTATGGCCTAGTTAAAACAACAAATGCTTCGCAAATGTACTTCGCAACATTGTTCCGTTCTCGAAATTTCGAAGTTAAATAAAAAGAGCGAAAAATTGCGTCACAACATCATCGTTTTAAATAGTTTTACGTGCAAAGATGCAAAAAAAATCGTTCTTCAACACATGCATGAAAAATCGAAGTTCGATCCAAAAAAATCAATATCCCTGGCTATGACACGTCACAACCGGTGAAAACATGAAATTCAATCGAATATTGAGATTTATTTGGAGGGTTTTGACCAATCAGGAACGCGAATACAGTAGAAATTTATAAAAAGAGTTAATCGTTTTTTGTTGTTCCGTTGTTCCGATAATTTTCCTCCGCCTCATACGCCTATGATTTAGAGAAATGTATAGTTGTAAGGTTTCACAACAGCAGCTGCCCAACATCTTTCTTCTATCATCCCTGGTAGTTCTTCCCAGCCATTTCCACCAATGGTGAAGGTTTCCACTGAGTTGAGATATCCCTGCTCATTATTCCGTCCACCAAACACGAAAATGACGTCATCGATGATTACGGCAGAGCTGCCGTACCTTTTGTGCTGCATGGATGGTAACATCTCAGATCGCCCGGTCACCGTGTGATATGCGATGACGTCATTGACTGCACGGCCTCTCATATCCATGCCCCCGATAACGATAATAATCTCACCCCAAACGACCGAGGACATACGAGAAACCGGCTGAGGTAACGAAGGACAAGGCTTGAACTTATTCTCACCAAAATCATAAACGACAACCCTGCCAGTGGCATATTTACTGCATCCGGTAGATGCTCCACCCAGATAAAAAGCTTTCCATTAACAAGCTCTGCTCTGTGATGTCTTCTTTGCTCGGGCATTCTCGTCAGAAGCTCGACAGTAAAAGGTGGGGTAAGAGCAATCTGATAGATTTCGTCCAATGTTCTCCTTTCGTGCCAATTACACCCGCCTATTACATATAAATTTTCATGGACAACGACATCGTGGCCAATAATTTAACAGGCAGTTTTCCAAATATGCGCATTGCAAAACATGTCGGCTCATCTTCAAAACTTGATCTGTCACTGTCACCTTCATCATCGACACCACCAATAGCAAGGATGCGATTGTCGTGAACACACAATGCCGACGATACCAAGGTTGCTCCAATTGTTGCACAATTCTAGAGCTCCTCTCAACAATACAATACAGTTCAACAGTATTTGAAGAAGTAGTTTCGCTTTTACAACCATACCCACCAGAAAATATGATAATACCTGTTGCATTCCTTGCTAATAGATCATTTAGCACTCCTTTAAACCCTCGCAATCTTGTTTACTCGTTAAATTCTCCTAAAATGTAAAATTTTAATTTTTAGTCATTACACTACCATAATGGTGTTATGGATGCTATGGTGTTATACCGACCATAATGGTTGTAGATTTCAAACCGGAACTGTCATAACTTAGTTTAATGTTATGTTATTATATATATATGTTATGTTAATTCGCGGTATAAATAGTCGTTCACTATCAGTTTGATCATACGATACAAAGATCCACCAAGAGTCTCCACAATTCAAGAAGCGAACGATTTTCTACCGGACAGACAAATTAATCTGTAAGTTTCATGTATGTATTCGTATGGTCGTATTCGTACTTGTCGTATGGTACTTGTTCGTATTCCTCGTATTCGTACCGTACTAATCTCTGTAAATATTCGTTTAGTTGAACCGCTATATGATTAAAATTCTACGAGTTCAAAGTACACGTCTGGTTAAGACTGAGTCTAACAATGGTATTTGAACTTTGTGGTAGCAACATTTGGTCTGTGGAAAAAAACAAGCTCTGCATGAATGCATGCAGGGCAATAATTATGATAAATGGTCAATAATTTTAAAATATTACCACTACCTCCATTTTATTCACTTTGTTTGTCTCAAGGTTTGTCGAAAGGTTTTGACGAGAATATTAGAAATTGAAAAAGCGCTTGTTTTCTTCATTTTATTTACGTTTATTATATAATATACAGTGTTGCTGGCGAATACCTCGTTTTGAAAAGCTAAAATAACACATGTACGACTATCGTGTTTGATCCACCAAAAGAAACTTGAAACGAAACTTGTTATTTAACGGCAGCCGGTAAATCACATAAAATAAAACTTGTTGTTAAGTACATGCAAGATTTTATGCGCCTGCTAAAACATGTGGTGACTATTAAATCATGAAATCGGTTAAAACCATTAGTAAAAGCTGTTTCGTATTGACTAGAAACATGGTTTTAAAAATGACCGGAAAAGTAAACGAAAATACCACAAAATATTCTAAATGTACAAAACGTCTAGAACGATAATCATGGGGGGGGAGGGAGGGTGAAGAGGTGTTTATTCACATATTCAGTCATAGGTAGCCCAATGCGCTGCATTACGTACGTCACTTGGGTCACGTATATAGTATATAATAATATAAGGTTGGCAAGAATATTTTATTTTCAATGTACATCGTTTAAATATGATCAAAATATTAACATCTATTCTATAAAATACGCCAAAAAAATAACAGCCCCTAAGTGTAGGGTAGTTTTACTAAATTTGTACGTCGGTTTTTTGCAATGAAACGCGATTAAAAAATGAAACTATGCCAAAAGTTTGTTGAAATTTGCCGTGTCCCGATGCGGGATGCCTGTTGCCGTGCAAAAACAATTTGAAAACTCGTATACGCGATCCTATTGGTCATGCAGCTTTGACCGTTTTGTGATGACCAATAGGATCGCGTATACGAGTTTTCAAATTGATGTTTTTGCACGGCAACAGGCATCCTGCATCGGGACACGGCAAATTTCAACAAACTTTTGGCATATTTTCATTTTTTAATCGCGTTTCATTGCAAAAAACGACGTACAAATTTAGTAAAACTACCCTACACTTAGGGGCTGCTATTTTTTGGCGTATTTTATAGAATAGATGTTAATATTTTGATCATATTTAAACGATGTATATTGAAAATAAAATATTCTTGCCAACCTTATATTATTATATACTATATACGTGACCCGAGTGACGTACGTAATGCAGCGCATTGGGCTACCTATGATTCAGTATCAATAATCCCCCCTCAATTATCGCTCTATAGTTTCGGCCCGGCTTCCAGTGCGATCCAGCAGTCGTACTAATTACCAATAGACCTTTTGCATAATAGACCAACTTACGATCTAGATAACAAGGAGGAAATAAATCACCACAGCTAAAAAGAGCATGCTTAGTTGGTATAATTGCCCACTTTGGCTGGAAAATGTCGAGTAGTATGGAAAATATAGCCATGCGAAGTTGGCAATTTTGTATTTACTTTTTACTACGGCCGGAAGCGTTTAAACTAATTTAGTTAAACACTTCCAGCCGTAGTAAAAAGTATACAAAATTGGCAACTTCGCATGGCTATATTTTCCGTACTTTACAATATTTTGCAGCCAAACTTGGTAATTTTACTAAATTTAGTATGCACTTTTCGGAAATTTCCTTTTTCTTGGCTAAATCAAAAGTTTGGTCTATTATGCACATCACAAGATTACCTTCGAATTACTACCTTATTTTTCGAAGATATGTGGCCCTCCTCACTAAGCCGTCAGAACATTTAAATGATGGCAGAAAAATTATGAAACAATTACCTTCATTTTCATAACTTCCATACGTACTTCATCATCTTGACATTCATTACTTTTTGTCTCACCATTTTTCATTTTATGTTCGCATGAATTCGTGGAAGTATGACCTTCCTTGTACACATTGGTGACTACCATCAGATCTTTCACTTGCGAATTCTCCACCACTTGTGGTGCTTTCCCACTTATGTCTAGGGTTACGTGAAATCTTTCTTGTCTTTCAGACATAATCGTCATCATAGTTGTCAACATATCCTTTATTTCCTTTTGATTCATTTTGATGTCCTTTAAGTCCTGAATATTGGAGCGATCAAACAGACAGAAACTTTTATGGTAGTTTTCATCTCTTTTGTTCACCTGCTGGCCACAATTTCCACACGTAACTGGACGATATTCACAAACACTGACGTGATCGTCCAACATTTTAAGCTGAATAAATATGGGACACCCTCGACTGTTGTAATCACACTTGATTCTCAGCTGCGACAAAATCTTCGGCAAAAAAAAATGGGGATGTTTCAAAGTTTTTTGAGTGAGATGTTGTTGACATTTCGGGCAGGATTGAGAATGGGCAAGATATTCTTCAATACAACTCAGACAAAAGTAGTGCTCTTCTGCCTCGCATAATCGTGGATTGTTAAAAACACGGTGGCAAATATTGCATAGATAATCTTCGTTGACTGGATCAAGAAAGCGGTTTGGATCATAACCATGGGCCATTAGCAGTAATGTTCAAATTGAATCTGAAACATGAACATGATTACATTGAAAGTTAAACCCGGCTCTTCAATCATACATGCTGATTATTTCAAAGCTCGACAAACATAAATTCACAAGTGATGGGTAAAAAAGGATTAAAAACCATCAAAAACTCATTGAAATATGATGCAACTCGTAGTCTACGCTGATTGCCTGAGTTTGAAAACTCGATGCATTACAACATAAATAGATACCCATTTTTAGTGTCTAGGTTTACGCCGAAGAAGGGTCGCGATATAGTGGCACGTCCGAACGAGATCGAGTAAAAACGAATTAAAAAAACTTGAATTCAAAACTGGAAGGAGCGATTGAACTCTTTTAAGTCTTTAAACAGCAAAAACGAAACGGGGTTCTAAACAAGGGTATTTCAGAGAAAATCAAAAGGCATAAATAGATTCTGAGTAAGGTAGTAACGTGGATCGGGGAGTCTAAACGTGAAAGTAAACATGGCAAATTTGGGAAAAGCGAATCACTTGAAGACATAGAAGCGCGAGGCTGTTTAATTGAAGAAAATATTGACCGAGGCGTCACCAAAATAACACGGTTGCGAAATTATTTGAACGATGGCGAGTTTCAGAACAGTCTATCGTTTTGAAACAAATTTTAAGCAGAAATCGGCTCTTCGAACATGGCAGCGGTGACAAAGTTTGCATACTTGAAGGAGCTCTTAGAATCGAAGCTGCGTAGAAAAATCGACGGTTTACAAATCTAAGAGAAAAGGCTACGACAGAGGCAACAATATCTTGAAGGCTGTCTGAATACGGGAAGGTTAGTGAAATCGTAAATAAGTATATCGAAAATGTCATAGCTCTACCAGTTGTTGTGGGTTCTCATCTTTCAAAAGTGCATGAATTCTATCACTAACGAGCATATACATGAAAACTTTAACCCAAGGTCTTTAAAAGAAGACGTTGATCAGTTCAGAGAAGGAATTGTGGAAAAGGCAGATATGGCTCCTACCGGAAGAGAGTATTATATTCCACATATGGAATATATATTATATATATAATAATATTATAATATATTATATATATATTATTATATATATATATATATATATATATACTCGGCGGCATCGCGTGCTAAAATGGCGAATAAATATCGTGATGCGCCCAAATATGGACATGCCACGCCATTTACTCGCTATTTTCAAGTCGTCTTTGACGTTCACATCCTCATGCTAAATCTCCCTAATTTTGGAGCGTGCTACTTGTGTTGACCGCAATCGAAGAAGCTCTTTGAAAATTTATATATCACACAATATTTGACGTATCTATAGATGTTCTTGTCCGAAAGCTTTGCGAACGCTTGTCAAACTCAAAGACTCGGCGGCATCGCGTACAAACTAAAGCAAATGTATAAGCAACCTTACCTGATGCTTTATCGCGCCAAAACTGCTAGTACTTTGTGGAAACCTCGAAAAAATTTGTGGCAAAGCTCGCTTGAGAAATGAGAATAGCTGCCTGTTAACGTTTAGTATGACCAGTAACGTAACGACAACGTTAACTGCACCCAAATCTCAATATTCCTTAGCAGGAGCAGCGCAGTTCCTCAGGATTCATCCGAAATTTCCTATCTTACAGTATTCTCAATTCTCATTTTAATGATTAAAAATTTAAAATCCACAATGATTAAAGCCATGCTTGAAGTTCAAAGGAACTTGGTAAAGCCCATGTTTACGAGGCACTGCTATACTAGTTTAAAATTCCAAAAAATACTGAGTAATGGTTCCAAAAATTTCTTGAAATAGAATTCACTTGTTTAAGGAAAATTTGAATGACCGGAAGTGTTCGATAATCGATTTCGTCAATCGTCATTCGTCAAAGCGATTTGATTCATTTTAATTTTTAACACAAATAACATTATGTGCGTGGTGCCAGGGGCCGGTTGTATCAAGCCCGTTT